ACAGCACCTGACTCCCAGGTCCTGGCTCCAGCTGAGAGTACTTATGGCTTAGTGGCAAGGACAGTGGAGTAGCTGGGACACAGCAAGGCCTACAGGACTGGTGGGAGTGTGAAGAGAGGCAAGCATAGGATCTGGTGGTGATACCCGGGGAATCCCAACAGCAGCCCATGAAGACCTGCACCCAGACCTAGTAAGTGTGGACAAATGAGGAGGGAGCTCATCACAACTGCAGAGAGGGCTATGCGTGGTGCAGGGCCCCCTTTAGGGAGAGAACTGTAGGCAGACTGGAACTGAGCCTTCAGCTGGTTGGGACAGGAGATACAGTTTAGGAGGGAGGACAAAGAACACTTCAGGTGAGGGAGCTTGTCATTTGGTCTCAAAGCAAAATGACACGATTTAAGAGACCGAACTGGGCTTTAATGGAAGAGCACAGGTGTCAACTAAGAGGGAGAAAAAAATTCACAAAACTAGATTCGAAAATGACTTATCACACCAGGTAAACCAATGTGAAAATGCTCTGCATTGGGGGCTGGAGAGACACCGTGGGGGATGAGATGTGCACCAAGGATCTCTCTGGAGGCCGAGTCCTGAGGCTGAGCATTGTGTCAGCATAGACAAGCTACAGAGGGAGGAAGAGGTGATCTTCTCAGAAAGGGACTGATTGATCATTGGCTTAAGCAACAATTACGGACAGCAGAGTTCTAGATGCTGCCCCAAGGATAGCGAATATTTATCAAGCTTTCATTGTAAAGCACTATTCTGAGCACTTCATTATGTATTAATCTCTTTAAACATCACAGCAACCCTATGATATAGCCGCTAATATCATCATCCCCAGGAATGAGGAAACAGGCACAGAGTTAAATGAGCTTTCCCAAGCCACACAGCTAGTAAGTGGCACAGCTAGGATTTGAACCTAGGCAGTCTGAACCTGCTCATTTAACCAAAATGCTAGTTTATTCTAGCTCCCCCAAGTCAACTAAATCACACTACTACTGCTAATATTAGCAGCTAGCATTTACCGTGTTTATGATGGGCCCAATGCTATAGGACACCAGACACAAAGATCACCGAGCTCCCAGGTAGGTGAACTGTAATTGAAACCCTGACAGTTCAGGGTGCTTGAACTTGGGGGACAATAAAGAGCATAAAAGAAGAGGTAATTGACCTTACTTAGAGTGGCACTGAGTTGTGCCTGCACTGGGTCGTTGGTTTCACAGAGGACTGGCTTGTGGGCTGAATTTTGAAAGACGACTAGGTATTCATCAGACAGAATGATGGGGCAAATGTTACTTGCAGAGGGAATGGTGGGACTAAAGGAACGGAGGCTAGAAAGTTTGTTCCTTTCAGGAAACTTCAAGCAGCTTGTATGGCTCGGGAGCAGAGTGGGCAGCAGGACAATAGAGAAACTAAGTCAGGAGTCGTCAGGGGGCCAGATCACACAGAATCTTACTTGCTTTTCCAGGAAATGTGAGAGATTTTCAAACTTTTTCAATGAAGTAAATGTAATGGCAGAAAAGACAGAAAGAAATATCCCCCAGGAAATCTGGTGGCTTACTCTGAACCCCTTCAGATTAGTAGGAACTCCCTGAGGTCTATTTTCTCCATATAATGTATACGTGATAATTTTGTGTTCTCTGTTTAAATTACTTACCCTCAAGAAAATGAGTGTTCCAGGGTGACTTGATCCTAGGACTTTCACCGTGCCTGGCACACCAACCTGCCAGGTGCGTGGACTCCAGTTTGAGAAACAAGGAGGGAACTATCAAAAGGATTTTCATCAGAGAAGCAATGTGATCCGATCAGCTGTTTAGAAAGACCTGGCAGCCACAGCAAAGTTGGCTTGGGAGTGAGAGACAGGGAGTCTGAACACTTTCAGGGAAAGAGGCCCAGGGGCCTTAAATGCAGGGCAGGATGGACAGATATCAGGGAGCAAGAACAGATAGGATTTGGCACCTGACTGGGTCATGAAGGGCTGGGACAGAGAGGGAAGGGTTTAGGATGGCTTCCATAGACATGGCTTAGGTCACACCCAGGAAACTACGGAAAAAAAAAACTAGGTTCAGAGGGAAGGATGACTGGAGTTGAACATTCAGAATCTGAGGAACCTATGGATCCTAGGGGCAGAGAGCTCTGAGCTGAAAATAAAAGCGGTAGTCACAGAGACAGCAGGCAGATGGACAGAAGGCCAAAAGCTGCAGAAATGGAATGGTCAGAGACACAGGGGCCAAGTGGGGAGAAAGAGATGAGAAGGAAGTGGTCAGTTCTAGGAAATGCCATGGAGATCAAGTAAAATGGACTCTGAAAAAATTCTGGATTTAGCCAGTAGGTCAACGTACATCCCTTAGTGATTTCTCTGGACAGTAATCAGGAGTTGACCCACGGTGGGCGTTTGGAAGGGTTCAGCCTCCCGTCCTGCCTGGTGCTGGGATCAGCTCACACGGCTCCTATGTCCACAGGGCACAGAGAATACATTGTCCGTAAGGAGGATTATTCTGTACAAGAAAGCTCAGACAAAGGGAGAGGTTGTTTCCAGCTGCCTGGGGGAGGTGAGAATGGGGTGGGAAAAGGGACCAGCCTTGCACTAGGGCATTCCTGCAGAGTTCAGCTTCCTCCCCGACAGCAGGACAGGAGGTGGGCAATCAACACCTCCAGCTCGGTTCTCAAGCCAGAACCCATTACAGAGCTGGAAGGAACACTCAGCTACAATCGATCGATTTGGGCTGTTTCACAAGAAAGCACAAGGTTAAGTAAAGTTGGCTGGGTAGGGCAGCAGTAGACCTCAGGAGGGGTAGAGAACAGGGTGACTGGGGTAATGAGTAAAAGGGAGGGTCAACAATGACAGAATTCTAGCCACAGGGCAGAGCTGGGGACAGAGTGGTCCTAGGCAGTGGCTTTCATGCAGATATGGATTAAGCTTCTGCCTTCAGTGGGATGAACTGTGCGCTGTAGAAAGCTCTCACAGTTTCACAGTGTTGCTTTCTCCACCCTAGGCACAATCCCAATTAGGAAATGGCCTAATCTCCTTCTCCGAGATTAGGAGAAAGCACAGTACCCAGGCAAAACCGAGTAGTCAGAAACAGGAATACCACCAAAGAAGAGCAAGAGAGCCATCTTTTACAAATCCTAAATCTGAACAAGTAAGTACGCCACTTCATCTCCTTCGAAGAGGGCGCCACATATATTCGCTCCTGAGGGAATGGAGAAAATGTGTGTGAGGGGAGGGAGATACTTTCCACTGGGGCATTTACTGGGTTGTATAGGTCCCAAAGTTGGTGATGCTACACAGGTGTGTGTACTCCAGAGGATGTGGGGGTGTGAGGGGGTTGGAGATAACGTGTTTCCAGAGTGAAGAATATAGGAATGTGAGTGCCTCCAGAGTATGGCTTGTTTGCATAAGGGCCCAAGATGTAAGTGAGGTCCTGCTCATGCTTCTGTTGGGGCAGGAGGACACTTCCACCCTGGGAGGACAAGGAACCCATTTCAAATATTAATGGTGGGAATGAAGGTACTATTGGTCTGAGACAACAAAGAAACTTGGGGTTGGTGCCTCTCAATAGAAGGGAATCTTCTGGTAGAATTAAGGACAGCAGTCACCAAAAGCTGCTTCAGTGGTTTCAGAGATGTACAACTTGAACTTTATCCAGTATGACAGTTAGCTTTGACACTTCCAGTGGCGGGGGTGGGGGTAAGAACCTAAGGAACACTTGAGCAGGCAGGCAGAGCAATAAGGCAATATTGCTGAAGTGGGGAAAGGTCTGGCATTGCCTCAGAGCTGAAAACAGGATGCCCCCCATGCTGCTGTATGCTATGACCACTGAACTCTGCGGATCCCATCTCGTCTTGATGGGCCAGGAAGGGATAACATCAGGGACCACTTTCCCAGTCCTTTGCTGCCACAGCCTGGCAGAATTCTGCCCGGCACAAAACAAATGCCAATGCCCCACTGTGTGACAGGAGAGAACAGAAGAAAGGCAGCCGGCAGGTATGAGCAGGCTCTCCTCATACCGCTCAGGATTTTCAGATCAAAGCTAACTGAAGCTAAGAAAACATTTCATGGAGAACAAATGAGAATTGCCTTGCAGCGACTCTGGAAGTCTCGGACACTGGGTCTCTGATCGCTACATAGCTCTCTCATAAATCGCTGTCTGCTAACCCTGACACGGTGGCCTCCAGTTTAAATAACTTTATTCAGAGAAACCCTTCCGTCCCCTCCTGACTCAGGCCCTGCCCCGGCGCCTGCAAAGGCGCATGGAGAAAGGCAGCTAAGCAGCAGACCCAACTCACGCCACTCTTCAGCTTGATGCAAAGCAGGCAAAGGTCCTGGTGGCTGTCCCCACCCACCAGCAATCTGGTTCTTAGTTGAGTTTCAGCAGACTGGAGGAAAGCCATCCTGGCTGGAGTCCAGGCACCACACACTGTTATGAGGACAACTAAACCCTGAAGAAAGATAGTGCGAAGTGGAACTTCCCTCCCTCTAAAATAAGGAAAATTAGTCCAGGAAGAAGGGGTTTCTTCATGTGCAAAGAAAATCCCTTTCTCACACAGTCCTACCTGGTAGAGCCCGATCCTGGGAAGCCCTCACCCAGAAAGAAACATCTTCTTTCCTGTGTATGGGATGAGGTAAAGGGTAGGCAACTTTGTGACTATTGCCCGGGTAAGAGCTGAACTAGCTTCTTAAAGGAGAGGAGGAGGAGAGCAGACCCACACCTCACCAGAGCCGCAGGTGGACCATTTGACCCAGCCCAGAAGCTTCGCCACCCACAGCCTGGAGAGATGGCCAGGATGGAACCTGGGCAGGGGGGACTGCCGAGCCAGCATGCCCCTAAGGACACACAGAGGCTACGACAGTTTCTGGCCACACAAAGTAAGCACAGGCTTTCAAACAGAACGAGGCAGCCCGTGACCCTAAATCCGTCGGCTCACCACTGAGGTGAAGTAGTGTAAAATCCCGCTAAGTTCCGGATCCAGGACTGAGAAGGGCAGCGGGGAGAAGTGGCTGTAGAAACTATCATTTATTGAATACCCGTCATTTCACAGACTGTACTAAGTATTTTACATTCATTTCTCTTTTTAATCCTTACAACATCCCTATGAGGTAGGTATCATTGCCATTTACAAACAAGAAAACAGGCTGAGAAAAATTAAGTCACTTGCCCAAGGTCAGTCAGTCAGTCAGTGGTGGAGCTGGGATCTGTCTGGTGCCAAAAGCCCATGTTCTCTTTATTGTACCCATCTAGTTCAGCTTAGGGAAGAAGGCAATTACACCGCCCAGCTCTGCAAGGGGCTCCGGGGAGTGGAGGTTGCCAGCCACACTCACCGCTGGTAGGGATGCATTGAAGCTGACTTGATGTTGGTTTTTATTCCACTTGGCATTTTCCCTAAAAGAAACATGAAGAAAGACACTTGCAGCATGGTGAGACTTTCATGATATACCGGAGTGATGGTCTCCCAGGTTCCCTTCCCTTCTGCCACCCCTTTGCTCTATCGTCTCAGAACCTCTGTGGCCTCTGACCTGGGTAGTAAAGATCAGAGGTGTGGGTCTTAACCAGCCCTCTCCCTGAAGGTGTCTGGGAGGAGAAGGCTGATAGCAGGAGGGGTTGAAACACACACGTCAGTCTCCTACTCAGCTACTCCCGGAAGAGATAGCTAGTCCCCATTTAATGCCACGGTTAATAAAAAAAATATATATATATATATATATCTTTTCTCTTATTATAATTGTTCCTTTTCCCAGACAGCTTTGGCCGTTTGAAAACGGCTTTGAAAAAAAAAAAAATAAATCTTTTAGCCACGTACATCTGAACTCATCCAGACTATTCTCGTAACTATTAACAGTAAGCAGGAGAGACAGGATACAGAGAAGAATACATGGAGTTTGCCTGTTTGTCAGCTCCCAGTGCACCCCTGAATGGTCTTAAGACTGTTGGTCTAAGAGAAGACCCTGACAGCACATCTAGTATCCAGAGAAAATGGGACAGAACAGTAGCTGAGGCAGCTTCTAAGATAGGGGTTGGGGGGAGGCACAGTTTCTGTTGTTCAAAGTTCTTCCTTTCTCTGGAAAGGACTCTTGCTGCTACAGACTCTCAAGGAGATCTTTACTTCTAAAAAATTGTTTTATGGGTCATGGTCCAAGAAGAAAAGGAGAAAATCTACAGCTCTGGGATGCTGGGGGCTCAGACAATGCAGCTTATTCCTGTTTCCATTCTCAAGGTCTGCTACCATGTCATTCCCTGCCCCCTCACCTGTTTGACCTGCTTGAGCCATCTGTACGCCACTGAGCAGCGGCTGCTGCTGGCTTGGAGCTCCTGCCATCTGCACCTGCTGCAGTCCTGAGGCTCCGGCAAGGATGGTCCCAGCTCCAGGCTGGCCTGGCTGGCCAGGACCACTGCTGCCTGAAGGTCTCCAGTTAGACAGCCCCTTCCCAAAGGCCACGGCAGCTACTAAAGCATTGGTGTCTGCAGGGTTAAAGGTCTGCTTGTTTGGCCGGAGACCTGAAGAAAAAGGTGAAGTGAGGAGGCTGACGTATGCCTCTGACCCTGGACTGAAACTAGCGGCAGGAAGATCAGGCTGAGCCCCAGGGCTCGGAGGACCAGAGCTCAGTAGCATCCACACTCACCAGCAGCCCGGAGGGAGAGCCCCCCAAGACCCCCACAACTATCTCAGAATTCCCTCCTCTCATTTTGCCCATTTCTGCCACCTGCTCCGGGGCTAGCCCTAAGTACACATGCCAAACAGAATGGACGTGTCCCTTTCTTTTTTTTTTTTTTTTTTTTAAAGATTTTATTTATTTATTTGTCAGAGAGAGAGAGGGAGAGAGAGCGAGCACAGGCAGACAGAATGGCAGGCAGAGGCAGAGGGAGAAGCAGGCTCCCTGACGAGCAAGGAGCCCGATGTGGGACTCGATCCCAGGACGCTGGGATCATGACCTGAGCCGAAGGCAGCTGCTCAACCAACTGAGCCACCCAGGCGTCCCGACGTGTCCCTTTCTGAAGCAGTTGGGTCTCCTGTCCTCACTCCACCAAACCGAAACCACCACTCCTATTCCAGCGAGTCCTTCACTCTTTTCCTTCTCCATTTCGCCACCCATCCCTCCATACCTCCACTCTCCGATTCCCGTTCCTCTTTGCTGATTTTCTCCAGAAGGTTTGAGCACATTTTATTTAAGCCCTGGATCTGCTTCTGTAACATACACACGTTTGTGCAGAGATCAGGGGAAACAAGAAATGAGTGTGGTGAAGTTTCTTCCTTGTGCTCTTCCAGAGGCAACTTATGGGTAACTGACTGTGCATCCCCACCAGACACAGATGCTAATGCCTAGCTTCTTGTGATGGGACTCGGGGTATGGGGCAGGGGAGGTGGGATAGCCGTCCAACCTGAGCTGCATCAGCACCAATGCGGGCCGCATCTGTGGTTAGCTGCTTTTCTTGTTCTTCGACCTCAGGGTCGGGCTTGGTTCTCAGATGGTCAGGGACCACCTCATGGCTGAAAACAGGCACTCGTCCTTCAGTCTGCCGCTGTAACACAGATTTTATTGATCCTCCTATGCAACTCAAGTAGACTCAGTCTAGCGTGATATATACAGTTCCTTCCATAGGCAAATGATACATTCTCAGGGAAAACACCACCTGACACTTATAATATCTAGCTTCCAGGGACACTACTGTCCTTACTCCCTGCTTCCTTTCTGTCTCCTCATACTTCTCTTTCTACCAGACCCAGGGGCAAGTTTCTCTTTGGTACATTTTAATATAATACCAAAACGGACAAACTCACAAAAGAACATACTTTTCGCTCAAGGTAGGTATTGGAGGAGAAAGGTCTTTGCCTCAGTGACATAGGCCTCAGGTTTATTTGGCACTATTTGGGAGTGGCTCCCCAACTCCAGAAGTAAAAAAAGCAAGGTCTCCAAAATGCAGCCCTTGCTTTCTACCACCACACACTACGCCTTCAGAACTTCTAAAATAACCCAGCAACAATTGTGCTCTAAGTCCTCATCTAAGAATTTAATTTTCCATGTCGTACCCGTCTCCTTCTCTTACCATAAGATCTTCATCGCGGTCTGGGGACAGCACCAGAGGGATGATGACCTGGTTACGGAACAGTGGTGTCTTTTCATGCTTCAAGACCTTGTTCAAAGTGTTCAGCTGTCCGGAGAGCAAAGCAAAGCTGTCCAGGACAGAGGGCCTGGTGGTGATAAGAAGGTGTCAGAATGTTCTCAGTAAAGTAGCCCTGAAGCAGTCCTTCAGACTAGGAACACCCAGGCTCACCTCAGAAAGGCTCCTAGCACTTCACCTGGACTGGGCTGGAATCAGACTGGCTCCCAGGGATTGTGGGGTTAGGAAAGAGGGACACACTTAAAGTTTCTGACACAGGTGGAAAAATAAGGCAGTTCATTCTCTGAATGGGATGAAGACCAGTGGCAAATAAGAACCACGGCTATACCGATCACTAAACATTCAGAAACTGGGTAAAGGCCCCCTTTCAGGCCTAAAAAGAGGATCCACACTTCCAGAGTAGGCTGGACCTAAAAGACTCAGCAATATCTCTGGTAAGAGATCCAGGATGAACACTGGATTCTTACTGTAGCAGGAGAACCCACTGAGGGAATACCTCCTCCCAGAGAAGTCAAAGGGTGAGAATCGAAAGCTAGAAAGAACTTAGGTTGGGAAACTGGACATTTCTCTACTTCCTTGCCATGGTGGCCCTAAGACAAACTTCACTTGTTAAATGTTGGGAAACCCAGCTCTTTCCAAATCAAAAGATGTTTGCCAAGTGCTAAGTTGTGACATCACTGGAGATGTCCTATCCACCAGGAGACCTGCCCCCCCCCCCCAACACACACACCCATGGAGCCCTCCTCAGCTTGCCCTGGCAACTCTTACCAGGTCAGCCGGTCATACTCGTTCTCCAACTTGTAAATGAAACTCCCCAGTGAGTTCTTCAGATCAGCCACTTGACTCAGCAGTGCATCTAACGATGCCTCAAGCTGCTTCTCCTCCCTCTGCACCAATAGGAACAGGTTGGTTACCCAGACAGCCGTGAGTATGACACATACAGAGGAAGGCTGAAAACCCAGGATGACAGTATGTAAAACTACTCAAGTAACACACGATCTCCCCGGCGCAGAAGAGCCAGACTGTTTTCTATCTTTAGTATTTGGGTTACACACAGCATCAATCCTTAGACCTTTCAATCCATTCCCCTGACCTCAATTCCTCCTTTCTCTCATCATCTCCTAATTCATGTCTGGCTTTTCTCTGCACTGGAAACACTCTGTACTCACTCACTGAGACATTTTCACAAGATCTAATGCCTGGGCTTTATTATCTTTTGTGCACGTCTGCAGCATATGTATTTCAGCTTCTTCTGTACTAGAACCTGCCTCGTGAGCCTGGCAGTTCTTGCCAATAACAATCTCTAGGAAAACCTACCCACATATCAAGGTTTCCCTGAATACCAGGCTTGTACCACCACTGCTCCCCACTCTCTCCCACTCTTCCTTTGGCCTCAGCATTTGATGTTTTCAAACTTCTTCTTGCCGAATTAATCGACACTCGTTTTATCTCTGTGCCAATATTCCTGTGTTCCTTTCACAAGTTTAGTCAACTTATAAACATTTACTGACAGAGAACCAGGTGCAAGAAAGTAAGTGGCAAGTGACAAACAAAACAAAACAAAATAAAGGCACACGCTCCTAAGCACCAGAGAAACAATTTTAAATGCTGGGGTGTCTGCAAGCATTTCCTTTCCATCTGCTGTCTCCAGTTTTACTTCATTTCTTCATCCTTAACAACTAACGGGCTCAGGCTGGGAAGAATGATGCAAAATCGTCTTGCAAACTCACCAATGTGTAGGACATGAGCCTCGATCCTGGGTTCCACCCACAGCCTCAGATTATAATTAGCTCAGCTTTCTGCCACCCCACCCTGCAATTCCTTCACCGCCCCCCACCTACCCCAACCCCGGCTTCTCTCCAATTCCAGTTCCCTTGTTATGTCTGCATCCAACAGCGTCCATCCAACAGTCTAGGCCTGGGCCTGAGCCAACCCGCCACTTTCTTGAGCCGTCTTCCTTGGACTGCATTTCAACCTTCCCAGGTTACAGCGCCCTGATCCCTTCGTGCGCCCCAGCAAGTCCGCGGGGTCTCCTTCCTCGCAACTCGGCCAGTCTCCTGCTAGATGGGCCCCACCCCCACCTCTGCAGTCGGCCGCGCCTCCCCAACCCGCGGGCCCATACCCGTCAGCTCTGGGCTCTGCCCTCTCCTGCCAGCCCCAACTCCTCACTCCTCGGCCAGCCCACTCTCAGTCCAGTTGCCTGAAGCTAGCTAACTAGCTAGCGGTCAACATCCCGAACCCGCTCTCACCTGCATCGCGGCGGCAGCGGCGGCGGCAACGACTTCCCCTTCCGGTTTCCTAGTCAGCGAGCCACTCTGAGAGGGCTTCACTCCCCAATCAGAAAGTTCAGAGCTCGGCCCTCCCACTTACTTCCGGCTCCTGTGAGGCTTCGGTAGCCGGGTCAGGGGTCACCAGTGGAGCATCTTCTCTGGCCCGGGCCGGCGCGGCAGGGCTGTGTGATGGCTTCGGAGCGCCCGGAGCCGGAGGTGAGGGCGGGCGGGCGCAACGCTGGGCGCTGGGCCCCAAGCCCCGAGTGGGAGGGTCCGGCAGCCCGGCGCGGCGGCGGCCTCCTCCCGGCCTGGGGGCGGCCGGGCCGAGTTGCCTGGGCAGAGATGGGCCCAGCCCGGAAGGCCCCACAATTGAACCTCCTCCCCGCGACCCGCAGTTTTCTCCGTGGGGGAAGGGGGGGGGTTGCTAGAGCAAAAACCCGTCGCTTTTTGTTTATTAAAATTACAGATACGTCGCCGACTCTAGAGCTCTCGGATTCCTAATAATGATATTAGGAAAACCTGTGGTTTTATTTTCTGCTGCAGTTTCCATGGGCAACACGGCAATAGACCTACTTTGCTGGTTTATGCATTTCTCCAAACATTGGAATGCCATAAACAGCATGAATTAATTTAGTTGTAGCGCTTGTGGACTTAGGGAGCAGCTTTGGTTTCGTGAAAAAACATTTGACTGGGAGTGATACCTCGTCCCGATACTGGCTCTGCTATTTAGCTATCTGTGCAACTTTGGGCAAGTCTTGACTATCCGGATCCTGTTTCCTTCCTCATAGAATACCTTTTTTATGGTGTGTTGTGAGGACCTTATGTATTAAACCAGAAAATGTATACGAGGCATCCATCAGGTGCTAATGCAAGGAACTTATATCCACATGATGTTATTCAAACTTGTACGAGGAAGGGAAGGTGGCAGTATCCTTTCTCATGTACAGATAAGGAAACTGAAAAATGAAGGAGGTTATTAAGTACCTTACCCAAGTGCTACGGGGCGGGGGGATGGGTAGTGGCAGAGTTTTGAAGTTAAAAGATCTGAGCATAAAACCTATCAGATTTGGAAAGAACAACATCACTAGAAGAGGTGCCCAGTGTTCTAAGAGAGTATATGAGTAGGTGGGAAGGGCGAGGATGTGTATAATGACATAAATAGTAGTCATTATGTAGCGAATGCTTACTGCACGCCAGGCACCAGCCTCTGCACTTCACCAATATCAATTAGTGCTCTCATCTCTAGACACTTTCATCATCTCCATCTTTCGATTGGGGAAATTGAAGCACACAGCTCACCAGAGTCACATGGTTACACAGCTAGTAAGTAGTAGAGCCAGGACTCTCAATCAGGTGGCCTGGCTCCAGATCTAATGTTTTTAACCCTTGTGATTATAGTATAATAATACTGTAGCCACAGGATGGTAAATCTCCAGTTTGTTGGGATTTGATGTGTTGAGACCCAAGTTTAAGTAGGAAACCTTGTGCTGTTTAAAAGAGTCAGATGGGGCGCGTGGGTGGCTCAGTGAGTTGAGCTCTTGGTTTCAGCCCGGGTCATGATCTCGGGGTCATGAGATTGAGTCCCATGTTGGGAAGGAGGTCTGCTTGAGATTCTCTCTCCCCCTTCCTCTTCCCCCCTCAAATAAATAAATAAATCTTCAAGAAAAAAAAAAAAGAATCAGATATGTTCCACAGGGAATGGTGGAATAGCCCATGCATCGGAAATGTCAATATTGAGAAAGACAAAGAATTTGAAGTACATCCTAAGGATTAAGATGAGAGGAAATGGGGGGATGTTGTAGGGAAATACAACATACTTTTTAGGCAGATAATGTAAAACAGCATTGTCCAGGGCACCTGGGTGGCTCTGTCGGTTAAGCATCTGGCATCTGATTTCGGTGCATGTCCTGATGTCAGGGTCATGAGATCAGCCCCAGGTCATGCTCCGCATTCAGTGGGGAGTCTGCTTGAGATTCTTTCTCTCCCTCTCTGCCCCCCCCCATAAATAAATAATTCTTTAAAAAAAAAATAAAATAGCACTGTCCAGTAGAAATCTAATGGAAGCCATATATGTAAATTTTTTAGTAGCCATGTTTAAAAGGATAAGAAAACAAATGAAATCAATTCTAGTAATGTGTTTTATTTAACTTTACATTTGCAAAATATTACCATTTCATCGTGTGATAAATATTAAAAATTATGAGATATTTATCATTCTTTTTTTTAAACAACACAAATTAGATTTTTTATTTGTCACCATTAAATGTCTGAATTATAAACAGATTCTTTTTTTTTTTTTAAGATTTTATTTATTTATTTATTTATTTATCTCTGTATAGAGATCACAAGTAGACAGAGAGGCAGGCAGAGAGAGAGGAGGAAGCAGGCTCCCCACTGAGCAGAGAGCCCGATGGGGGGCTCGATCCCAGGACCCCGAGATCATGACCCGAGCCGAAGGCAGAGGCTTTAACCCACTGAGCCACCCAGGCGCCCCTATAAACAGATTCTTGGGCTGGTGGCTCATATCTATCAGCTCGTTCAGCTTTAGTACTGGTCTCATCCCCAGTAGCTTTTCCAGAACTACTACCTTCACCATGAATCTCCATGAGCTTTCCCAGTTCAAACTTGGGCTTCTTCAGCATTTTTACTTTTCTAACGAAGACATCATAGAGTGGATAAATAGACTGACAAGTTTTTTCTGTATCTTTTCCAGTGCTGTCTGGAATCAATTTATTGACCACTTCTTTCAAGTCATTTGTCTGAATCTCTCCGGTCATAATCTCCATCATCTTTTTTCTGAATTTGGCGGACCTGTTGGTGCTGAGCATAAGAGGTCTTCCGAATCTGATTATTGCATTTTTTAGTAAAACCGAGACAAAACAGACAAAGCAAATAACCATCAGTAGTCTTTTTTTTTTTTTTTTAAGATTTTATTTATTTGACAGACAGAGATCACAAGTAGGCAGAGAGGCAGGCAGAGAGAGGGGGAAGCAGGCTCCCCGCCAAGCAGAGAGCCAGATGGCGGCGCTGGATCCCAGGACCCCGGGATCACGACCTGAGCCGAAGGCAGAGGCTTTAACCCACTGAGCCACCCAGGCCCCCCCCCCCCCCCCCCCCCCCCCCATCAGTAGTCTTGACATCAACATGAGCTTCAGTCATGGTCTGGCATTTTTTGACCATGGAGCACACTTTGTCATGGTTAAGATCCATGCCATGGAAATTAGTCAGGCAGTTTTTGCCCTGAACATCCTCAGTAATAAGCTTAAATTTTCTTTTCTTTTCTTTTTTTTTAAGATTTTATTTATTTATTTGACAGACAAAGATCACAAGTAGGCAGAGAGGCAGGCAGAGAGAGAGGAGGATGCAGGCTCCCTGCCAAGCAGAGAGCCCAATGCGGGGCTCGGTCCCAGGACCCTGGGACCATGACCTGAGCCGAAGGCAGAGGCTTTAAGCCACCGAGCCACCCAGGTTCCCTTAGCTTGAATTTTCTAAGTGCAACTTCATTCTGTAAATCAGCAAGGCTCACTTGAAAAACACGACCCCTGAGGCCATCAGATACAATTTTGGTTCCTTGAGTTCTTATGACTAATGTTTTCTCGATATTTCTCTTTTTTTTTTTTAAGATTTTATTTATTTATTTGACAGAAATCACAAGTAGGCAGAGAGGTAAGCAGAGAGAGGGGGGAAAGCAGGCTCCCTGCTGAGCAGAGAGCCCAATGCAGGGCTCGATCCCAGGACCCTGGGATCATGACCTGAGCCGAAGGCAGAGCCTTAACCCACTGAGCCACCCAGGCGCCCCCCAATACTTCTTAAATTGAACATAGCTGGTGCTTTCACATTATACCAATATTTCTTAGCTCCCTTTCTTGGCTCCCTTTTTGCCGCCTTTTGTAAGGTGCTTGTTCTTGCTGACTACCTTTGCGCTGCTCAGGGAGCCAAAAGGTATCATTCTTTTTTGTACCAAATTTTTAAAAATCCAGCATGTGTTTTACACTTAACAGTACATTTCATTTGGGGCCATTGGAGTAGCCACATTTTACTCAGTAGCCCCATTTGGTAGTGGCTACTGTATTGATCAGTGCATATCTATAGTAACTTGGAGTGAAGACACATACTAGTAGAAGTCTCATTCAGCCAAAAGTTAAGCATGTGTTAAGTTCTTGATTTGCATTTCTGAAAATTTTATCTCAGAGAGTCAGGGGAGTGAAGAGGTCTGTCCCTGGGCAGAATAGTGACTTTTAGAGGTTGTTGCAATCCTAAGAGAAAAAAAAAATTGGGCATAGTCAGATTTAAGAAGTCATTCATTCATCAAATACTGAAAATACTTTACAAATGCTACTATGGACTCAGAATTGTGCTAAGTATCAGGGTGGATGCCAAGCAGTGTGAGACAGACATGTCCCCTATTTTAATGAAGTAAACAAACGTTGACTTATAATGAGGGCTGCAAAGGAAAACTATGGAGTGAATGAGTGTTTGAAAGGAGTTCTTAACCGACTCTGTTAAGAAGTATGAGGGGAGAGGTGAGTTGGGATGCCTTTTCAGAGAAATGACATTTCAGTCTGAAGAATGAGTAAAAGTTGGCCGTGAGCAGAGGCAACAGTGAAAATCCTGGGGTGAGAAGGACCTAGAACCTTTAGAGAACAGAAGAAGCAGCTGCTAATGTGGGTGCAATGGGACAGTGAGAATAGCTAACACCGAGAATAGCTAACACTTCAGGAGGGCTTACCGAGTATCACCTAATTCTTGTAGAATCTCCATGAAATAGGCATTATTATTTCCCCAGTGTCACAGATGAGGAAACTAAGGCACAAAGAGTTTAAGTAACTTCACCACCAAGGCCTTACACTAATAAGCAGTAGCAGAACCAGTGTTT